TTATTTTATTTCAAATAAATAAAATATATAAAAATATATGAAAAATGTTTATAAAAACACAGTGGTACACAAATCTGCAAAATAATGTTGTAATAAAATTTTAGAAACAAAAATAGGATAAAATAGCCTGTTGAAAGAATCAGTTTACTGTACAAAATTGTATTATATGTAAAAGTAAGGTTATGATAACCTAATGCTGAGAAATATTTTTAATTCCATTCTTTATTGAAAAAAACCAGAAATATGCAATCCTCTGGTTAGCACTTTATATAAGACTAAATATAAAATGATTATATTAAAATATCACAAATAGAAATGTCTTAAACTATAACAAATGTTCATGGAATGATTTAGTAGTTGTCAGATCATGTACTCAATAATGTGTAACGGTTGGTTCTCTTCTTATTTTCTACCATCAGAAATACTATTTCTACCTATTTTCTGATATCTCAGAATTTTTAACTTCCAAGATTGTTACTTTGAACAATTTTTTTCAATATTTATTTGAAAGGCATAGTTATTTATGGATCTTCCATCTGCTGGTTCACTTCCTAGATGGCCACAACAGCTAGGGATGGGGCCAGACCAAAGTCAGGAGCCAGGAGCTTCTTCCAGGTCTCCCACATGGGTGGTAGGGGCCCAAGGATTTGAACCATCTTCTGCTGCTTTCCCAGGCACATTAGCAGGGAACTGGATCAGAAGTGGAGCAGCTAGGACCCAAACCAGGGCCCAGATGGGATGATGGCAGTGCAGGCGGCAGCTTAACATGCTGTACCATAGTACTGGCCCCATTTTGGGCAATTTTAAAAATATATTTATTTTTTTCTTCTACTTGCAAAGTACAGTGACAGTGAGAGATACAGAGGGAGAAAAACAAAGAGATCTGGGGCTGGCGCTGTGGTGTAGAATGTAAAAACCGCCACCTGCAGTGCCAGCATCCTATGTGGGTGCTTGTTCGAGTCCTAGCCACTCCACTTCTGATCCAGCTTTCTGCTATGGCCTGGGAAAGCAGCAGATGGTCCAAGCTCTTGGGTCCCTGCACCTACAAAGACCCAGAAGAGGCTCCTGGCTTCAGATCGACACAGCTCCAGCTGTTGAGGCCACTTGGGGAATGAACCAGTAGATGGAAGACTTCCCTCTCTCTCTTTCTCTCATTCTCCCTCTCTGTAACTCTGCGGAAGGAAGGAAGGGAGGGAGGGGGGAGGGGAAGGGCATTTGGTTCGTTCTCCAAATGCCCGCAACAGTCAGGGTTGGGCCAAGCTGAGCCAGAAGCCTTGAATTCCATCTGGGTCTTTCAAATGAGTGACAGGGGCCCAAGAATTTAAGCTATCATTTACTGCCTCTCAGGTGCATTAGAAAGAGGAGCAGCCAGGATTTGAAGCAGCACTCCAATATGGGGAAGCAGGCATCCCAACCAGTGGCTTAACCCACTGTGTCACCAGCCAGCCCCTAGACAATCTCTGAGAGGACCATTATAATAGTTATATATAATAATCACAATTATTCATTAGTCAGTTAATTTACTTGCTTGAATTTTAAGGCAGATTCTGTCATTTATATTTTCAGCAATTGGGTTATGCATGTCTACAGGTATAATATATATAAATGTTATAACCACATGTTCAGGTACTCAACTTGTAAAATACATTAATAAATGTTCTCCCTAATATCTCATTATTCAGTTATAACTATATAGAAAATTCTTACACAAATTAGTATGAACAACATCTACTCAAACAGTAGCAAAATGTTAAGACCAAATCTTATCTAGGAGGGAGAATTTCTGCATTAAAAGGAGAAAACTATGGTAGAAGTAGGGGAAAAGACAAGAAAGAATGTTTGAAAAAAGCAGAGCCGCCTACTATGGTCTAGTAGGTAAAGCCACTGACTGTACTGCTGCATCCCGTATGAGTACCAGTTCAAGTCCTGGCTGTTATATATTTCTAATCCAGCTCCCTGCTAATGTATCTGAGAAAGTGCTGGAAGATGGCTCAAGTACTTGAGCCCCTGGACCCAGATGGGAAACCCCTAAGAAACTCCTGGTTCCTAGCTTCAGATCAGCCCAGCTCTGGCCGTTATAGCCATTTTGGGGAGTGACTCAATGGATGGAAATCTCTCTGTTTCTCCTCTCTAACTCTGCTTTTCAAATAAATAAATAAATAAATCTTTTTTTTTAAAGAGGTAAACAAAACTGAGTTATATTTTCAGCTGTAGTAAGGTACAGAGGTTATAAATGGCAACCAAGGCTATTTTTAAGAATAAAAGCAAAAGAGAATGTGACAAATGGGAAGATACAAAGCTTGGAAAAAATAAACAAGAAAACTAACGAGGGAAGAGTCTGGGTATTCATTCAGATTTTTAAAAAGACACACATAAAAAAAAAAAAAAAACTAACCATGATTGGGATGACTTTTAAAGTGAATGAAAAATTTTATAGCTTACATTGGAAAATGAGAATTTTTTTTTTTTTTTTTAACTTTTATTTAATGAATATACGTTTCCAAAGTACGAATAATGGATTACTATGGCTTCCCCCCCATACCGTCCCTCCCACCCACAACCCTCCCCTTTCCCACTCCCTCTCCCCTTCCATTCACATCAAGATTCATTTTCGATTATCTTAATATACAGAAGATCAGCTTAGTATACATTAAGTAAGGATTTCAACAGTTTGCTCCCACACAGAAACATAAAGTGAAAAATAATAGATGATTTTTTTTAATGATGATGAAATCAGATCAGACCTATTGTCATGTTTAATCCCAGTGAGAGTCAAGTTGGGAGTTGATAGTTTCTATTCTTTTCTTTTTTTTTTTTTTTTTTTACAGAGGATCAGTTTAGTATGCATTAAGTAAAGATTTCGACAGTTTGCACCCCCATAGAAACACAAAGTGAAATATATTATTTGAGTACTCGTTATAGCATTAAATCTCAATGCACAGCACATTAATGACAGAGATCCTACATGAGGAGTAAGTGCACAGTGACTCCTGTTGTTGACTTTACCAATTGACACTCCTGTCTATGGCATCAGTAATCTCCCTATGCTCCAGTCATGAGTTTCCAAGGCTATGGAAGCCCCTTGAGTTCTCCGACTCTTATCTTGTTTAGACAAGGTCATAGTCAAAGTGGAGGTTCTCTCCTCCCTTCAGAGAAAGGTACCTCCTTCTTTGAAGACCTGTTCTTTTCACTGAGATCTCACTCACAGAGATCTTTTGCCAGAGTGTCTTGGCTTTCCATGCCTGAAATACTCTCATGGGCTTTTCAGCCAGATCTGAATGCCTTTAGGGCTGATTCTGAGGCCAGAGTGCTATTTAGGGCATCTGCCATTCTATGAGTCTGCTGAGTATCTCACTTCCCATGTTGGATCACTCTCCCCTTTATTTATTCTATCGGTTAGTGTTAGCAGGTACTAGACTTGCTTATGTGCTCCCTTTGACTCTTAGTCCTTTCATTATGATCAATTGCGAACTGAAATTGATCACTTGGACTAGTGAGTTGGCATTGGTACATGCCACCTTGATGGGATTAAATTGGAGTCCCCTGGTATGTTTCTAACTCTACCATTTGGGGCAAGTCAGCTTGAGCATGTCCCAAATTATATATCTCTTCCCTCTCTTATTCCTACTCTTATGTTTAACAGGGATCACATTTCAGTTAAATTTCAACACTTAAGAATAACTGTGTATTAATTACAGAATTAAATCAGTCATATTAAGTAGAACAGACAAAAAAACTACTAAGAGGGATAATGTATTAAGTTGTTCATTAACAGTCAGGGCTATGCTGATCAAGCCACCGTTTCCCATAGTGTCCACCTCACTCCAACAGGTTTCCCTCTTGGTGTTCAGTCAGTTGTCACCGATCAGGGAGAACATATGGTATTTGTCCCTTTGGGACTGGCTTATTTCACTCAGCATGATGTGTTCCAGATTCCTCCATTTTGTTGCAAATGACTGGATTTCGTTGTTTCTTACTGCAGTATAGTATTCTAAAGAGTACATATCCCATAATTTCTTTATCCAGTCTACCGTTGATGGGCATTTAGGTTGGTTCCAGGTCTTAGCTATTGTGAATTGAGCTGCAATAAACATTAGGCTGCAGACCGCTTTTTTGTTTGCCAATTTAAATTCCTTTGGGTAAATTCCAAGGAGTGGGATGGCTGGGTCGAACGGTAGGGTTATCTTCAGGTTTCTGAGGAATCTCCAGACTGATTTCCATAGTGGCTTGACCAGTTTGCATTCCCACCAACAGTGGGTTAGTGTCCCTTTTTCCCCACATCCTCGCCAGCATCTGTTGTTGGTAGATTTCTGAATGTGAGCCATTCTAACCGGGGTGAGGTGGAACCTCATTGTGGTTTTGATTTGCATTTCTCTGATTGCTAATGACCTTGAACATTTTTTCATGTGCCTGTTGGCCATTTGGATTTCCTCTTTTGAAAAATGTCTATTGAGGTCCTTGGCCCATCTCTTAAGTGGGTTGTTGGTTTTGTTTTTGTGGAGTTTCTTGATCTCTTTGTAGATTCTGGTTATTAACCCTTTATCTGTTGCATAGTTTGCAAATATTTTTTCCCATTCTGTCGGTTGTCTCTTCACTCTCCTGACTGTTTCTTTTGCAGTACAGAAACTTCTCAATTTGATGCAATCCCAATAGTTAATTTTGGCTTTGACTGCCTGTGCCTCCCGGGTCTTTTCCAGAAACTCTTTGCCTGTGCCAATATCTTGAAGGGTTTCGAAAATGAGAATTTTTATAACAAGGATATTTTGTTTTATCGAATTTAGCAAAATGATTTGAACTCTCCCATACACTGCAATTGCTAGCTTTTCTGATGTTTATTTTTTTTTTAAGATTTACTTATTTATTTGAATGACAGAGTTACAGAGAGGCAGAGGCAGAGAGAGGTCTTCCATTTCTCTTTACATGCTACACCACAACACTGGCCCCTTCTTATGTTTTAAACAATGACAATACAATGGTTAATAAGAGTTTGAAAGTCATACCTTATATGGGCTAATTAGTCTTCTTTTAATATCCAATCTATAGCTTCTATATTGTTCAGCATCACTCATGTCAGTTACAAGGAGGCGAAGAATTTCATAAACCCGTCTAGCATGTTGCTGTTAAATAAAGAAAAATGTGAACATTTTCAAATTAAAAAAAAAAAACACAGTGACATTTCCAAAAGAATACATGATATGTTTAATGTCTGCCATGGACAAAGAATTGTATTAAATACTAGAGGAAAAACAGTAAAGGAGCTAGCAGTGTACTGAGTGAAACAAATGAACAAGGCATGCTTAATTTAATCACAGAAGTGCTGATGAGTTCTTGCAGTAGTGCACCTAATGAATGTGGGAAATGCTAGGGGAATAAAACCTCAGGTGAATCTTGAAAATGAGTATGCCATTCTGGAAAGAGGTGAGGGCACTGTGTTGGTATGTATGTATGCCTGAGTACATATATGCCCATGTACAGAAAAGCCTGACATTCCTAAAGTAAAAAATAACCAAGAAGCAGGAAGGAAGACAGTGAGGATGAAGCCTTATTTACTGGGGTAAAGAGCTAAACTTCACCCCAGTGGATGATAGTCTTGATATGGGAGACTAGGCAATGAACACAAATGTGAATTCTAAGAAAACCATTATTTTAGCTATATGGAAACATTAGCAAAAGAAGGGCAAAGAAACCAATTAAGTCAATAAACTAGGGGCTGGCACTGTGGCATAGGAGGTAAGGCTACCACCTGTGACAACAGGCATCCCATATGGACGCCAGCTATGTCCTGGCTACTCCACTTTCAATCCAGTTCCTGACTGATGGCCTGGGAAAAGCAGAGGAAGATAGCCCAAGTATTTGGGTCCCTGCTACCTACATGAGAGACCCAGATGAAGCCTCTGGCTGCTGGCAATGGCCCAATTGTGGCCATCTGGGGAGTGAACCAAAAGATAGAAGAGCTCTCTAACTGACTTTCAAATAAATAAATGAATTAATTAATTGAAAAAAATTAAACAAAAGAAGTTAAGCTACTAAACCAGTGCCCCCTCCCTGCAAAATGACGGCATGAACTGTGACAGTACAAATAATAAGGGGACAAAGATTCTAGTAAAAAGAAAAAGATGACCAGGAGGAAGCTATAAAATGACAGTTTTCACAGCCATGGAGTAGATTCAGAAGGCAACAGAACATACTAATAGGATGAAAATTCTAGCCTGAGGGCGAGAGCTTAAGCAGTATCAGTAAGTGTTAAAACCATAAGGTTAGTTAACATCACCTGAGGAAAACATATACCATGATAACAGAGCAAAGGTCAGAATCCTGTAGTAACAGGTAAAGGGCAGACAGAGGACACCACAAATGGTTTAAAGAATATCAGGAGAATAAAAATTCTGGTTTCACTGAAGCCGAAAAATTTCTGTTTGTGCTGTTTAACTTTTAATTTTATTTGAGCAGGGAGGTATGCTATGGGTAGGTTAGGAAAAACAATATTTGTACTTTCTGGAGGGGATACCTGAGTCAAGCCTGAAAAAAATTAAAGTGAGTACCATTTGGCCAGGCAATAGGAGAAGTGGGTACCTGGATAAAAGGAACAGTGTATGTAAAGGGACACAGAAAGATATGGCACAATGGGGAAATGCAAGCAGTTCAGTAATGCCAGAGCAGGTAGGAAACTGGAGCTAGCAGAGCAGGCAGGATACAGATTATGATGGGCTCTGTGGACCTATTTAGGAGCTTGAATTCCTTTAAAAAAAAAAAAAAAAATGGAAGTGGCATAGTATTTGCATGTGATAACCTACACATATATTTCCGTATAAATTTTTTCTTAAATTTTGTTTAGGTGAGAGGCAGAGATAGAGATGACAGATTATCTTAGATAGATAAAGGGAAGAAGGCAGGAAGCATGGAAGGGCAAGCTTCCTCAAATGCTTACAACACTTGCTAGCTGGGAACAAAGCCAGAAGCCAAGAACATCTCTAGGGCTGCCATGTGGATGGGCAAGAATCCAATCATTTGAGCCATCACCACTGCCTTCTAGGATCTGCATTAGCAGGAAGCTGCAGTTAAGAGTGGAGCTAGGTATTTTTTTAAAGATTTAGTTATTTATTTCAAAGGCCCGGCGGGGGGGGGGGGGGGGTGTAAAGGAAGGGAGAGAGAGGGAGAGGGAGAGGGAGAGGGAGAGGGAGAGGGAGAGAGAGAGGTCTTCCATCCACTAGTTCACTCCCCAGATGGCCACAATGGCTGGAGCTGCACTGATCCAAAGCCAGGAGCCAGGAGTTTTTTTTCTAGGTCTCCCATGTGGGTGTAGGGGCCCAAGGACTTGGGCCATCTTCTACTGCTTTCCCAGGCCTTAGCAGAGAGCTGGATCGGAAGTGGATCAGCTGGGACTGAACTGGCACCCACATGGGATGCTGGGATTGCAGGCCAAGGCTTTTAACCTGGCTGCATCACAGTGCCAGCCCCAAGAACCTATACTCTTAACTACTGCTACTTCCCACACATGTACTCTTAATGTCCATACTATGTTGTAGTTAAGCTATATACTTTAATAAAAAAAAAATTAACTTTACATCTTTTTTCCTACAAAATAAAAATACCTTATTTATTTTGAATTTTTGTTGTGCCTCTATCGCCATTTCTTCATTGAATCCTTGCATTAACTTTTCTCGGGAAAAACAGGGCAAATCTTGGCAAAGCTTCACAAGCACAAAATCTCTTAATTTCACATAGCTTTTGGATGGATCTTCCGCTGAAGAAATAAAGCAGAATAACACATTCTTTACATAACATGATTCCTTTATCATCTGTAATTTCAACGTATTTGGTAGGCTAGAAATGCAAGTATTCTTAAAACTACAAACAAAATTTACAACATGAAAAGATTATTCCTTATAAAAGAACTATTACCTTTGCCAAGTAAAATCACATGTGTGATGCTTTTGTAAAAACATTTTATTGTTTGTGAAATAAGAACTCATTTCAAATTTAAACTTTTTGACTGGTATATTATCACATGCATCTTAGCTTTATTAAAAAAAAAAGTATCTCTATAAATGAGATTCAAGTTTGGATAAACAATTCCAAATGCAAGAATATTTTTGATGGCTAAGAGTTTCAAAGCTCAATTTTACCTCCCTTTCTTTAATTCGATAACCTTTAGAGTCTTCTATATTTGTTACACAATTAAAAAAAATGTCTTCCCTTTATAAAAGCAAACCCTTTTTGGGGCTGGTATTGTGGCGTAGCAGATTAAGATGCCACCTGCATGGGCACCATTTCCAAAGCCCAGCTGCTCCACTTCTGATCCAGCTCCCTGCTGATGTGCCTGGGAAAGCAACAGAAGATGACCCAAGGACATGGACTGTTGCCACATGGAAGACCAGGAAGAAGCTCCTGGCTTCCAGCCATTTGGGGAATGAACCAGTGAATAGATGATCTGTCTTTCCTTTTCTCTCTGTAATTCTGCCTTTCAAATAAATCAATCAATCTTAAAAATAACAAGTTGGAGGACTCTATTTCCAGATTTCAAGAGTTACTTCAAAGCTACCGTACTCAAGATAGTATGGCACTGCCATAAGAACAGACATTGAGTGGATAAGTAAAATGTGATATATCCATTAAATGGTATATTATTTGGCAATGAAAAGTAGTAAAGTACTGATACAAGCTACAAGAGTGAACCTTGAAAACACTACCTTAGATGAAAGAGACTAGTTGCTTTAAGGGGTAAGAGTAGGAGTGCAGAGTTGGGATTCAAGGAGTACGAATGGGTATGAGGTTTCCTTTGTGGGGAATACAACATTCCAAAGCTAGATTATGAAGGTTGCAAAATTAACTGTACATTTCAAATGAAAACTGTTATGGTATGTTAATTATATGTCAATAAAGCTGCTTAACAAAAGTTTGAGATGGGATAATAACTTATGATTCTCAGACACATATTCATTCAAATCATATGTACTGAATACCTTTCTTTATGGCTCTGTGTGGCATTTAGTTATTAACATCATGTGCAAGCAGTTATTAAGTATTATTTGACATCGGCTTTATAGTAGGAGAACTGAAAGTCACAGTTTTCAGTTTGGTGTAAAATTATAATCTATTAACAATAAAGAAATCATTAGTAAAACAAAGTAACTAAAACATACTCCTATACAATTACCAAATAAACCTAAGATTGTAATGTAATTTGTCATACAAGCCCATCCTTCAATCTTTCCCATGTCTTAAAAAAGAGTTATTTATTTGAAAGGCAAGGTTATATGGAGAGAGGAAGAGAGGTCTTCCATCTGCTGATTCACTCCCAACTGGCTGCAACAGCTGGAGCTGGGCCTATCTGAAGCCAGAAGTCAAGAGCTTCCTCCGGGTCTCCGACATGGGTGCAGGGGCCGAAGCAGTTGAGCCATCCTCCACTGCTTTTCCAGGCACATCAGCAGAGTGCTACATTGCAAATAGAGCAGCAGGGGACTCAACTCAGCACCCATACGGGATGCCAGCATCATTGGCAGCAGCTTTACATGCTACGCTGGTATGCTGATATGGGGGGTCCCAGTCCTTTCTCTTTTTAATTTAGTTGAACCATCCGCAGTTTTATAAGCCACCCAGAAACTTGAAGGACATTCTGATTCCTATATCTGATTCTACCAGTATGTTTTAACTATTACAATAATCTCTTTACTAGCTCTCTAATTCATACTCCCTCATTTTGCAAAAATAAAAATTAATAGATTCTCACACTCCTCTAAATTAAACTGCTCAAGCCTATCAATATAACTTTAATGGGAAACCCAGAAAGAATATATGGAGAGACAATGGTAAAAAACTTACAAATTTGATGAAAACAATCTAAATATTCAGGAAGCTCAACAAATTTCAACTAGGAAAAACAAAAAGCAATCTGTACCTAAACATGCCAAGGCAAAATATGAAAAGCCAGAGACAAAACAAAACAAAAAAAACTTTAAAGAAGCAAAATAAAAATGTCTCATCAGAAACCAAGATGTCAACGGCTGGCATTGTGATGTGGTAGATTAAGTTGATGCCTGCAATGCTGGCATCCCATATTGAAGTGTAGGTTCTAGTCCCAGCTGCTCTGCTTCCAATCCAGCTCCCTGCTAATGCTCCTGGGAAAGCAGCAAAAGACGGTCCAAAAACTTGGGTTCCTGCCACCTACATGGGAGACTTGAATGGAGTTCCAGGCTCCTGGCCTCTGGCTGGCCTAGCCCCAACTGTTGTGGCCATCTGGGGAGTGAACCAGCATTCAAATAACTAATAGATCTTTAAAAAAAAAAATTATTTAGGCTAAGAGAATATGGTACCTCAAACACAAGAAGAAATTAAAAATACTAATAATTATAAAAACAACCATAAAAGCTAATATTTCTATTTTTTCTCCTCTTGATTATATAAAACAATTATAAAAACAGTATTTGGATTACTTGAAGATGTAACAGATATAACCAAAAACAGGAGGGGAGAGAGAATAAGTATATTGAAGCAGTTCCTTTATTTTATTGGAATTCAGTATTAATCTGAAGTAAACTATTACAAGATGCATGTGGCACTGCTCAGAGTAACTACCAGGAAAATAACTAAACAAAATTTTTGAAAAGAGATTAAAATAATTCATTCACTAGAAATATAATTTAACACAAAAGAAGACAGTTACAGAGAAACAGGAACAAAAAGAAATGTGAAACATTTAAAACAAGTAACATAGTGGCAGGCATAATTCCAGGCACACATAATTACATTCAATGTAAAAGTTTGAAACACTGCAATCAAAAGGCAGAGATTATCAGACTGGATTCAAAAGACCCAACTACATGTCATCTACAAGAGAAATATTCAGATTCAAAGACCAATAGGTTGAAAGTATAAGGATGGAAAATGATAAGGCCGGCACCGCGGCTCAATAGGCTAATCCTCCGCCTTGCGGTGCCAGCACACCGGGTTCTAGTCCCGGTCGGGGCGCCGGATTCTGTCCCGGTTGCCCCTCCTCCAGGCCATGGGAGGACCAGGAGAAGCACCTGGCTCCTGCCATCGGATCAGTGCGGTGCGCCAGCCGCAGCGCGCCGACCACGGCGGCCATTGGAGGGTGAACCAATGGTAAAGGAAGACCTTTCTCTCTGTCTCTCTTTCTCTCACTGTCCACTCTGCCTGTCAAAAAAAAAAAAAAAAAAAAAGAGATAAAACATGCAAACAATATGAGAACTGAAATGGTTATATTAATACTGCACAAAAAGTTTAAAACAGAAATACTGTAGGAGGAAAAAGGGGGCACATTTTTTTAAATGACAAAAAGTTAATGCATCTGGAAGATATTACAATTATAAACACATATGTAACTAACAACAGAGTCCCAAACTGGCAGAATTAAACAAACAATTTAACAAAAAACAGAAATTTCAGTCTACTTTCTCAATAATGGGTAGAATTAGATAGAAAATCAGTAATAATACAGAAGACCTGAATGCCACTTTCATCCAACTTTACTTAACTGATATTTATATGGGACAGTATTACCAACTTTTCACAAACTGGAAGAATTATAAACACCATGAACTTTTATGTCAAATTAAACAACATGGATGAAATGGATGGATTCTAGAAAGATACAAAAATGATTCATGAAGTAAGAGTATCTGAATTGACCGATAGCAAGTAATGACATTGTATTGCTAACTAAAAGTCTTTGTAAAAAGAAAAGTGCATGATCAGTAAGCTTTACTGGTAAATTCTACCAAACATTTATAGAGGAAATATTGACAATATTTCATAAATTATTCAGTAAATACAGGAGGGAAGATTTCCCAATTTATTCTATGAGGCCAGAATTACCCTGATATCAAGGGCCTAACACAAAAAATACTGATTTGGTAAAAATCAGTGTCCCTCCTAAATGCAGGTGCAAATGTCCTCAACAAATTATTTGTAAACCAAATTAGCAATATATAAGATAAATCACTTAAAAGGACCACATGGTATATGTATCAGAAAAGCAATGCTAGGGGCCAGTGCTGTGGCATAATGGGCAAGACTGCCGCCTGCAGTGCCAGCATCCCATATGGGCACCAGTTTGAATCCTGGCTGCTCCACTTCCGATACAGCTCTCTGCTATGGGCTGGAAAAGCAGCAGAAGATGGCCCAAGTGTTTGGACCCCTGCACCCACATGGGAAACCTGGAAGAAGCTCCTGGCTCCAGATCACCCAGCTCCGGCCATTGCGGCCATTTGGGGAATGAACCAGCAGATGGAAGACCTCTCTCTCTCTCTGCCTCTCAAATAAATAAATCTTTAAAAAGCCGGAAAAAGATGCAGCATTGAAAGAAAATTACAGACCAATATCCCTGATGAACATAGATGCAAAAATCCTCAATAAAATTCTCGCCAATAGAATGCAACAACACATCAGAAAGATCATCCACCCAGACCAAGTGGGATTTATCCCTGGTATGCAGGGATGGTTTAATGTGCACAAAACAATCAATGTGATACACCACATTAACAGACTGCAGAAGAAAAACCATATGATTATCTCAATAGATGCAGAGAAAGCATTTGATAAAATGCAACACCCGTTCATGATGAAAACTCTAAGCAAACTGGGTTTGGAAGGAACATTCCTCAATACAATCAAAGCAATCTATGAAAAACCCACAGCCAACATCCTATTGAATGGGGAAAAGTTGGAAGCATTTCCACTGAGATCTGGTACCAGACAGGGATGCCCACTCTCACCACTGCTATT